AATGTAGAACATTGTCTTTATAAACTGTGTTATGCCAGTTGAGCTAGATGTTCCCCAAGACCATGGTCCCCACAGCCCTCTGCCCAGCAATTCAGTGCCTCAGGGAGTTTGGACGTGTCTATGGAGCTTCCGTGACCTTGCCTTGGACAAGTTGTGCTGGCTTCCCCAGTGTCATGTACTATCTTACCCTTCACCAAAGTTACCACTTATCTATTGTCTATTTAGTATTTAATATTTCCCCTCCCATCCTTCTGTTTTTTATATTTAACCTAAATTCATGAAACTATTGTTTACACATCTTTAATATTGTCAGGTCCTCAGGGGTGATGGACACAGTTGATCATTGTTTCCAGAGCCCATATTTTATGTACTCAAGGAACACAACGAATGATCATGATAACGGAAAATTTAAATAGTATATGATCAAGGAAATAATATTTCATATATGATGTGAAAATATTAAGCTAATTTTTGTTGTTGTTAATAACTTACTCTGTCAGCGGAGGTTTGAGTGTTACTGTGTTGAACTGGTTTCAGCAGAGCTTCCAGACTAAGTTGGACTAGGAAGAAAGGCTTAGTGATCTGTCTTCCAAAAATCAGCCAGTGACAACTCTATGGATCACAACAGTTTGATCCGTAACTGATCACGGGGGTCGCGCAGGACCTGGCAGCTTTTTGTTTAGTTGCACATGGGGTTCCCGTGAGTCGGAGGCCAACTTGACAGCAGCTAACAACAACAACAACTTTGGGACCCTAAATTTCTTAGGTTGTTATGAATAGAAATATTAATAGATATATTTGCAGGGCTAGCCCTATAGGCGTTATTTGAGCAACACTGAAGTTCTCTAATATAGCATGAAACTCTTGCTCTGTCACTACTGGGGCAGACCACTGCTTCCTAAAGAGAACATTAGTTTTCTGGGATATTATGCAATTGTTTGCCTAAAAAAGTTCTGAAGTCCAATAACTTTGAGAAATCCTAGGAGTAGCCAACTTAAACAGGTTTGTTAACTGCAGAACTTCTCAATAATGTGCTAATGGCCATTGCAAATCTCTAGAAGAGGCATATAATATGCATCATTTCCCAAACAGAATTAATCATGGGATTAGAGTTCAGTGGGATCTGACTTCAGTGTAACAACCTTCAGGCTAAGATGGACTGAATGGTGGAGACATACTCTCCACAAAGTCCAGCAGTCCTCTCTGGTTAGCTTATTCGCATGGTTTCTGAGACTAATAGATTGGTCTTGGACTCAGGGAATATTCTAGTGAGGGGATGTGGGGAATAGGGGAGGGCAGAAAGATGCTGGGTAACCGTAGAGAAGAAAAGTAGATGTCGAAGTGGTGGAATGTCTGTATGGACGACAGAGAGGATTGCTAAAAAGTTAAGGTCTGAGCTACAAAGATAGAAGTCTTTACTTAAGCCTGATGTCTGAGCAGGTAGGAGCTGCCTCTGGAGCAGCGAAAATAAAAGAACTTTATGCAGGCACTAAAGTAAAATAAGTTGGGGGGGATATGCCTTCCACTCTAGCAATACAGTGAGATATTATGTATCTACTAATAATGTTTTTTGCAAAATACCCATGTTGTAAAAGTGTTAAGAAAAAGACGACACAAAACTGTCTATTCTGTATCACTCCTATTAGGTATAAAATATTTGTATACATATGTCTACAGGTATATAAGTCTGGAAGAAAAAAAACTAAAACAGTAACCATGGATATATCCAGTTTATGATATTTTGGGTGATTTTCATTGTTTTTTGATATCCTCATGCAGTGATTTTTAATCTTTCCATCCTTGCTATCATTGCTAAGAGTAATTCATTATAGCAGTAATTCCTTAGGAGAAGGGGGCAGTGGTAATAACATCCCACTTTCCCCACTAGTAGATGGAGTTGTATATTTTGAAAAAGTACCTGAGGAGATTCCAATTCTTAATCATGTTAATTTTATTTAAAACATACTTATTTTTAAAAATTCATTGAAGATTTTATTAACATATTTTTAACCTCTCAAAATATTCTTAACAAATTATGTCAAGTATATGCAGATTTAGCTGGGGTAGTCAGGTTACTTCAAGGAATATATCACTTGGACCAGAAAGCAGATTTTACTTTTCAAAATGTTTCCAGAAGCTCTTATGAACCAGAATAACCTGGGGTGCTTATTTAAGATGTAGATTCCTAATTT